AGACTGAAGAGCCCTCCTGAAGTCCACATAATGCGTGGTTGTAAGCACTGTGCGAGAGCCAAACATCATCGGCGAGGTTCTTTAACGCTGCACTTTAAGGGAAGCCTTAGCCTCAAGAGAGGGCACGCGGTTTAGTTGGCTTTTACTAAAAGCACTACTAGTTGTCGGTGTATTTTTTTGAAATGTGTTTGGCGCATTGCCATGTTACTGGATTGAGAACGCATCGCCAACCAATAGACACATTAACAGAGCGATTGAAGAATCAGTGCCACTTTATAGGGGTGAGGAGGCTCTTGGATAACCTTTACATTACATACATTAGTAAACTCGAAGTATCACAGGGAAGGGTTTCCTACTCGTGCGTCCGTTAGATATGACATGCTTATCTCCAAACTGCTGCAACTAGGAAGGGGATGAACAGTGACCTGGGAAATTGCAAAATCCGGGCAAAGCCGTTACCTATAGGTGAGATGAAACTAAATATGTTTGACGACAGAATAATGCTGGGACTATCAGTAACAACATGGAGTGGGGCATAAAACTTTTAAATTAGCTGTACTGATAGGCATGCAAGTGCTCTTCCCATCCTCTTCCTTTCTCCAAGATTCTCTTGCCAAACTGAGGCCAAAGGCAGCCCTTACACGCAGTTCTTTCACTCTATCCTTTTCGATGACACAAAACAAAGTAAAATTGAAAGCGCCTGTCATAAAAGGCCATCAACGAAAGTCATAGCCATAAGTGACCATTTTTTAGGGCTATCCCGCGTTCAAGATTTGGCACGACGGATTAATTGTTAATCTACAATAAGCAGAAAAGAATTCAACGCGATTGTTAACGCCTGTAAAGGGTGAACTGCATTTCGTTACGGTGTAGCAAAGAAAAGGAGCTCAGTCACTTTTGTGCAAATGCACCTTCTGCACTCCCCCTCTCCGTTCACTTATTAGAAGATGCAAAACTGTGGGGAAACCGTTGCTGATGTCGAATTGCGCATCAATTTAGGTGATTGTTTGTTGATTCACATTTCTGAAATAGACGCCTTTTAAAGCGGTAACGACGCAGCGGTGAGCATTTAAGTCAAATTCTTGTGGAAAAACTACATTGAACATATCATTAGCTAACAATAGATATTTTGACTTTAAAGTCGGAGGGTTGACCTCACTATATCGCGGTAACTTCTGGTCACCATTCGCTTGTTAACCCGTCATCTGTTATAAAAAAGCAGGCATACCTTAGAAGTAAAAAATCCATCTCTTCTCCAATCAGTCAACCTTTCGCTCCAACAACATGCGATAGATGAATTGAGTGACTTGACAGATGTGTGAGTAGCACCGTGTTGGCGATGAAATTAGTGTGTGAGGGACGTTCATTCATCGCCTCGACGTGCACTCGAGTGCGCATCCAAACCAGTCCGTCGTCCTGTCTTAAAATCCGAACTGTCTGTGCGTGTGTTTGTGCATACGTGATACTTCAATTATCGCCCATTCCTCCACCCTCCTATCCACGGGTAGGGGCACAATCCATTGGTAACACACCATTTGGCGGTGGGAGGAATTCAAACCACCCTAGGACACGAGGTCCAGAAGGCGGTCGGGCTGCAGATTATGTGCGTGATCACGTCTTTCACTACCATAATCACCCTTGCTGCTACACGTCCTCCTCAAATATGTCCCGTGCATCGTATTTAAGCGGCGTCAATGTAGGTGGACCCATTTTTACTGTTTTATTGCATAAAAATTACTTCACGCATTTTACTACATGAAGGGAAGTTGTTACTTTTCACCGCGCCTTTTGCCTTTTGGTCGAAGAAAGTCGTGGTGGTCAAATAAATGGCAAATGCTGAGGTTGGTCATGTGATAAGTGCAATTATGAGAAAAATTTTATGTTAGCTTTTTTGTCTTTTTGTATGGTGAAGTGACTTACCACGATTCGCCTTAACTTTGCCTTCTCGTAAAAGCCAACTAAACCGCGTGCCCTCTCTTGAGGCTAAGGCTTCCCTTAAAGTGCAGCGTTAAAGAACCTCGCCGATGATGTTTGCCTCTCACACAGTGCTAACAACCACGCGTTATGTGGACTTCGGTGTAATCATTTCTCGACCCCTCAAATGCACATGTAGACAAGACTCTTGGAGAGAGGGAAAGGGAAAGAGAGGTGGAGAGGTGGGAAGAAGCACCCTAATTAAGGACTGCACCTGAAGGCGAATCCACTAATGAGTCTGCCCACATCGATTTCCTTCCCTCCTCAATCCTACATCTACCGTTTGCCTTGACGGTCAGCAGATACGGCTTTATTCGAAGACGTTTTGCGAATACTTCGAAATTGAACTGACTTCTCAACGACATAGGGGAACTCAGTTTGCGATATTCGGTATATTTTGATCAAAGCATTTCTGTAAATTTCAACTGTCAAAGCTTTAGCTATCATTCTGCAAGTTACGAACTCAATTTGAAACATTGCTCTCTAATCCTGTCCATTAACTCCAACGGCAGGGAACAATAATAGAGGGTTAGAGGAACAATTGTTCCCACAGATAGCAGTTTTTATGGAGGAGACGAAGATGAAGAGGAGGTACAGGCGATAAAAAACTAGATGGTGGTCAGAATTTCTTGCTGTGCCCTAGAGGTGGAATCTGACGGGCTACCAGCACCGTCCATCTTGTATGCATGTTTTACTTCAAAAAGACAAGGAGGCTTTCCTCTTTCCCTTCTGAAAAGATAGTGCATTCCGAGGGCTTGTTCCTTTCCATTTCCGTAGGAAAAAATTGCACAGAGTCGGAAATTTTTTGCAATACTTTAAGGAAATGAATTGGACTTTTGACAGGGAAAAGCTAATTGGCAACTCCCAACTTTAAGGTCGATCCCGGCCTCACCTGCTGCCACAGCCCGGAGGTGTTCCCTTCAATGAGTTGAGGAATTAATTTGGGTGACTACTCACAATGCACCTAATTCTGATGTCAGTGGCTTCTTTAAGCGGCACCGTCATCTATCAAGGCATCAGCTTTTAAAAAATGGCAAATCTTTGCTGATGGAAATGTGCGTATCAATGCCAGCCACCTGAACTTCGATCTCACTTCATTTTCCACCTATTGAACTCAATTCTCAAGAGGTTATGTAATTCGTCTAAGTTTGATGGCATTCGCCACTGTGGTAACTGTCAAAAAAACGTACTGATGGGCCAAAATGAGGTGATATTCGCTTTCCTTTCCCTTTTTTTCCATTGCCTCCACCTATGGTGCACATCTTCCCACGAAAAAGATTGCACCACTCGCACCTCTTGGTGATGACGGATTAACGAGAAGCCTAGATGTCGTGCCCCTTTGCGCAACTGGAAGTCAGAATTCAGCTGTTAAACCATTTCCTGATGACACGTTGTGCCAACTCACTGCGCATCAACTTCGGTGTTGACGACAAGGTCTCGCAGTCCCGGAGCTAGGTTAAACACGGTCCCTACAGGTTATCAACTGCCAACGCAATAAACCCATCAAATTTAGGTGACTGATTAGCAAGGTGGTAGAGTAGGATAAACTTAAATGTATCCAGCATACCATTTTCCTGAGTGTACCGAGAATTGTCAGCACTTTCTTTCGTGCATTGTGGAGGATGTTGCACCTACCCTTTCAAACTATTTACTTTAGCTCACCTGACCTTCAAACGTCCTTAAATGGCACGGCCTTAAATTAAGCAAATAGCATTTCTACGTAAAGGGAACTTAACTTTAACCGTATCACTCTCATGGTGCTTTCAAATACCAGCATACGTGTCACTTGACTGCTTTCTTCTTAAAAAAATTAAATCCGCCTGCAGTTTTAGTAAGGAGGCTACCATTATTGCTTAAAGTACCCATTCGCATATGTCAAATTCCGTGATAATGAAATTTAGAAGGTCAAGGGTTGGAAGGGGGGAAGGATAGTGTCTGAACTAACCATGAGACGAAAGTTCTCCTCCAAAATTGTCCAACCTGCAGCAAAGGAGAAGGAAAAGTGAATGCTTTGCAACCCGGTTGGATTACTCTGATGTGTGAATCCAGAGACGTAAGTCTGGTATTACTGACACGGCTGGCCAAAACCACAACACGCTTAGTGGAGACTCAAATACCAGTCCATTTGCGCTTAGTATTGCTGAATTTGTCCGGATTCCATCCCATAATAATTCAAAGCTCCGTGTACAGGATGGCATAAGGTGTCCATGTTGCGTAATCATTCGTAATAGTTCAACTATAGGGACAAACTTCACACTAAAAATTGCATAACTGTAAGATTTTTTTTTTGCGTTCCATGAAATTACGGCAGCATTAAAACTTTCCAACCACTTTACCGTGTAGAAGCTTGGAGGCTGTACTCATTACTGCATTTGTTGAAATAGACTTTATCATTTAATAAGTAGTAAGATAAGAAACTTTTGGTTTACTTTCCAGTTTTCATCCGCTAAAATTTAAACCTTCCGCCTTGTCACCATCGGCCAGACCGCATCGTCCAGTCTGGGTGTAGGTGTAAGTCTTATCTTGTCCGTAAACCTCAAACTCGTTTACCTTGTACCCAGGTATATTAATAGTTGCAGCAATGGTGGGTTGAAGGGTTGTTCGCCCGTTCAGTTAGATAAAAAGATGGTGCCAACCAATACGGTGCCCCATGGACAGCTACCAATCACAGCCTCAGCCTTGCACGCGTTTCCGTGCTGATTGGTCAGTCCCTTTCACCCCGGGACCAGTCACCTGACACGGCCATTCCATCCATTAACCTCCGCGCATACATAGAAGTAGACAGTGAGGGTATTTAGAACACAATCATGACTTTATGTCATCCTTCTCTCTTTCTTCCCTTCTTCTTCTTCTCCTCCCGTCGGAATTAGCATGGAGGAGGCGGTAGCAATTCAGCGAGCTACTTTTCGTCCTTCCCTAATTCAGCGACCTCAGAAAGCACCTATCACTATCCACAAGACTCCCACGACGGCGCTGAGCCATCTCTGACCAGAAGTTGGGACTGCACTTTCTCTAATCCCTCCTCGATGTCTAGTTCTCGAAATTACGGCTCTCTTCGTCACGGAAGTGGTCCCCTAGCCGCCTACACTCGCTCTGTTACTGCTTCCAGAACAGGAGGGCTAGCAGACCGATATCTTCAGAATGCTAATCGTAGTACAGATTTATCCAGATACGGTAACAACTACAATACTACTCCTACTCGTACCAATGAGATAAAAACGCGTTTTGAGAATGGAACTTCAACTAGTAGCAGAAAAGCGGATGATATAAATATCGCCCCACCGGAAGAGAGACCCCGAATCAGTATTGGGGGAAGATACCTTCAACGTGTAAATTCTAGAGATGGTACCAATGAGGCCTCCGTTGTTCCAGCTCGAAGCAGTTGGAGAGAATCCGTTTATGGCGTTCAGTACAGTAACAAGGAGGCAACTTCTTCTCCCACTTCGAAGTCATCAGCAAATTTGACTGAGACAGAGCGAAGGCGTGCGGAGAGAGAGAAGCAGATTCAATTGGATAAGGTAAAACAACAAATGCTGGAGGAGGAAAGGGAGGAAAGACGACTTCGACAGGCCCTACGCAAGGCTACTTTGGAGAAGGATGAAGCCAAAATTGCCGAAGTGGACGCACAAATTCGACGACTTCAACTACGTCGGCAGGACTCGAAGAAGAAGGAAAGAGAAGCTGCGGACAGCAACAATCTTTCACAAAAGCTCTCATACAAGGCAAATGAGAAGACAGCCGAGGCTTCTGTGAGTGGACGAACGAAGAAAAGTGATGTTGTCACGGTACCAGACATCGTTCAGACAGCGATGAGTTTCACAGACTTTGATGAGTACTTACGGAACCATCTGATTGGTGGACGGGACAATGGAGAGTCCTGGTGGATATACCAGCCAGACAGTGAGACGGAAGACTCCGTAGCGGAGATGTCCATTGTTTATAAGACAAAAAAGGCGAAAGAATTGTTTACGTCAATGCCCGTAGAGTTGCAACATCTTGTGGTTCGAGCGCACAAACGACCAATTCGATTTGCGGCTATCATGGAGATGTGCAAAACGGATAAGCATAGGGCAGAATTCTCGGCTGAGAGCGAGCGCAATTTCAAGGGGTATAATGACGTGAAAACTATGCTGTCGGACTTTGGATTTGATTTGACCAAGGTGAGCCGTTGGTTGTCAATCTCCTTTGTCCGTAATGTTAATTAAGGGTGTATCGAAGGAAAATGTTGGGGGAGAAAAGCAAACATGCTTGGATTTCCACATATCGGGCATTGGTAATATTTGTTGACCATGGGAGAGCAATTTGTAGAGTTCCCATGAAGAGTTTATGATTTAGGTTTTTTTAAACTCCGCAAGGAAAAGTATGGATGTTTTTGTCGTAAAAGTCGTGAGACATTAAAAACTGCTAATGAGTTTATAAAAGGGATACTTTTGTTTGAATGATTCGTTTCGACGGCCACAGACTGTCCACTTATGGAGTTATTTTTTAGAATTGTCTTTAACTTGCAAAATTTGAAAGATCTTGGCTCAACTGAGATCTCGTTTTAGTGAGACGTTTTCAGCCTAGTCTTCAACATGTCAAGATGTTCATTTTATTTAAAGGACTCTTTCCCAAATTTAAGCGAACAATAGCTACCTCTTCAAATAAGTGTCACTAACACTAACCACACCTCGACGGGAAGCCATTTCGAGCAATGAGCCTGTATCTATCCTTTAAGCTTCCCGCCTGATTGAAAGAGGCGGTCCTTAATCATTCCTCCCACTGTGGAACTGTGGAGACCTGCACCGTCTGCACGACTGTTGTTCCCAATTACCAGCTTAAGGAACATCAATCTTGCTTCTGTAAGGGAGGCTACGCTATTCGGCCTTATTTCCACTCCCTTAGTCGGCGGTCAAGTGTAAAAGTACATAGGAGGAGAGATTTTTAGCACCTTCAAATGAGGTCCTTTTGCCTACTGCAGATGTTGGGTAATTTGGTCCACTTGAATGCTGGTAAATGTGTGATGCTGAGCAAATATTGGTTTTCTTTACATCCCCACGTTCTCTACCTTTCCTTTTACTGCCTATGCTATTCCCACCTCATTTGTGCCACATGGTAGTATTAGCTGCGACTTTTATTAGCGATTCGGTATTTATTGTGCATAGGAGATGTGCACGCGCGCACACTCCATGATCCTGGTGATGTCTTGTTAGCAAGATCGAGGAGTCTGGGAGGTAGTAAGGCACTATGTCATTTTCAAGATATGAGAGCCTACTGGCACATGACCCAATGTGGCATAAATGTGGTCAGAGAAAACAAGATTTCCAACTGTTAATATTAGTAAGAATATTATTGAAAGCATAATAAAAGTAGAATAAGGAAAATATGACCATAGAATGGCGGGAAAGCGAAGATTTAGGTAGGACAACTCCATTGTCGGTCTGAAGAGAACAGAACAAAACAAATCTTATCATGGGTATTGTAGTGAGTCTCATCAGTATTACATCGACGACATTCTGCAGCGAAAACTTTTGAGCTGATTCTGTGGAGTACAATTCCGACGTATAATAAAGTGAGAAAGAACTCGAATCTGTTTCACGCGGTGTGATGAGGATATGGCTAAGCTATTTACAGCATGATTATTGAACTCAAATAGGATATGGAGACAGAAAGGCCTCTGACAAAATAAAAGGCCTTTGCGGTGTCCTTTGAAGCTCCGATGAGCAACCCCACTGGCGTATTTCAAATTTTTCCAAAAGGTATTGAAACCACGCTGTTGCTACTAGCGCGTGATTACTTACGACAACAAATACCCAGTTTTACGCATGCTTGCGAAAAAAGTAGTGTTGTAGGTCGATTTGAGAGCTTATAACTTCGGTGTTTATTTGCTTCCTTTCATTTTTCAATGCTGTCATCTACCCTAAGGTACTAGTTCCTACCTTGAGGGCTTCGAATCTTTGTTACAATCTTAACAGAAAAGAGACAGCCAAATGATACTTGACAAAGAAATCGTTGGAGCATCGTTCACTACTGTATAAAATTACAACTTATTAAGATAACTCCAATAGACATGATCATGAAAACAAACTTTATCAAATACAGGATTTTTGACACCCGCGTAAAACAAGCCAAAAGCTATGTACTTAAAATTGCTCAACACTAAGCGGCCGCGTTAAAACAAGCGATGTCTAATAAGCGCATAATGTGTGCAGATGACCATAACACTATCCGATAAACTCAACACCATATATTGCGAGTATTTTTGTTTCTTTATTTATATGAAAAAAGGAACAATAATGCACGAGAAAAAGCAAAAAGATTTTAGGTTTTATGTATTTCTCCATTACTGCGGCTGTTGATATTTTAGTAGGCAGCAGAGCTTAAATACTTTTGATTTATGGATTCAAAAATAATTTTTAGCAATCTGATTTGTGTAGGATTTAACTTTTGAAAATTTGCTAAATATTTTTAAAGGCCATTTTTGTTTTCATTAATTTATGTGTCCTTGGTATCTAGCGTTTCACATGAAAATGTAAATCGTATTGTATGTGGTGGAAATGACGACCTACACCTGTCGCACCTATTATCTTGATGACAGAGATCCATTTGATTACACAAAATCCGGGTTTTTGGAACCTCCGAAGCCACCCAGATTTGCTTTTCTTACCGATGTCTGTTTGCGAACACAACTACCAGGACTTCATAAAATTTTGGAAGCTCCGCATCAAGTAATTTTTCGTTCCGCTTCGTACATTATAGATCGAAAATTGTGTTTTGCAAGTCTACCGATTTGGAGCTGAACAAAATTACTTCGGCACCTACCTAGACATGGATTCCACCCTTCAGGAGCAGTGGGAGGAAATAAAGGGTGTCACGGACGAGTATGTTAGAGCTTTTGCATTGCATTGTTGCTTTCTCAGATTTTGCCATTTTCATTACCCACTATGATGGAATAATGTCATGGCTTTGTAAGGAATACTCATAATGCATGCATACACATACTGTGGTTTCAATATTTTTTTGGATATTTAGGCCTTTGTTTTATTCTTTTTGCATCTAAATTTAAATTGTTTTTATTTTGTTGTTTGTACAACGTGATCTACTGAAAACCTTTTACTTTATTTACTCTTGTCACTGAACATCATTGCGTTTTAGATTTCCGGCTGTCAGCGTTTATGTAATTTTAATTGCTGCAACATTACTAGTGGTGATGGCTTTTATTGTTGTGAATAAAAAGTTCTTAAGAGTTAAAGTTGATCTCTTGGATGTTCTTCATTTCTACACTTGGTAGTGTTAAACACTAACTCCCCTTACTCTGGGCAGAGGAAGGTTCCTGCACACTTTATGTGATGCATTTGTGTGGTACCATGCTATTCGCGTTAGATTTGTATTACGTTACTTCAAGTCATTCTGACTTGATACTCTTTTATTTACTTTTTAGAGCTGACTCAATTGCGATCGTTTTGCGTACAAAATCCATCGTTCGTGTTCAAGCCATCATAAGTAAGTGAATAGAAAGATATTTTAAGCTTGTTAACTTATTTTACTAGTGAGTTTATTATATTTTCCCTACGCTACAAATACAAGTCAGATTCTTGTGTCACGATGCAATGATTGAGTTGTGCACTCACTTTTCAGTGATTGACTGATCACATTACGTTTGCGCGTGTGCGTGCATGTGAATTCTCCGACATAAATCCAAGTTCTCGTTTGCATTCAGCCATGAATGCGTGTCATCCTCATCGACAACATCATTAACCACTACAATTAAGTGCCAACTACGCACACACACGCGCATATTCCATAACTTCCCACGATGCCCTACAGCCTCAAAGTAATCGTGAGGAGTTTAACGCCTCAAGTATTCTTTTTCGCTTTTTGACTTCTAGGCGGGGTCATGACCTCATGACTCCTCATCTAATTTGGTACACTGCGTTTTGCTTCGTAATTGCGCACTCTAGAAATAACGCAGTGACAAACGAAGTGGCCTATAGAACTTCTGCTTACATCGGAAAGGAAAGGGTACCTCTTTATCTGGCAACGGTAAACACGCATCGTATTGCTGCTCCTGTTTGGGGAATTCGGCTCTTTTGTGATAGCCATTAAATTTTGTGCTTCTCGTAGCGTTACCTTACACACGCTCTGTAGGACTATACTGTGTAACAGCTTTGGTAGTCAAATGGAGGAGGACTTACAAGTGACAAATGAGGTCTCCTTTTTTCCTACCGTGATGAGTCAAGTCACTTCTGGATTACACTTTATCACTGTCTCATCTTCATTTCCCCTCTTTTCGGTGCTTTAAATTAGTAAAAAGAGGTATGGACTGTTTTCCAACTGACTGGCATAAGCATTGCCCATATTGCACTACTATTAGTTTACAGGGGACCCCTTTGAGCTCTGCATTCAACTCTGACCTCCTAACCTCATGGTCGCGTCACTTAAACTCAGTGCATTGGAGTACACACAGGAAGATTACACACTCTAATTGACTGTTGTTTGGGTGTGTTTGCCTACGTGTGATTTAAGCGTTAACAAATGCGGGGAAATGGCTTTAAAAACTGTAATTGAAAGCAAACAAAGTGGACGTCTGTTTAAGGTGTTCTCGTAGCTACGCCTAGATAGGTAAGCGGGCAGACAGGCGGTGAGGCTTCCGGTGTAGGTTTTTAAAGGACTTAAAATACACGTGCGCACAGAATGCACACAACACGCGCACAGTGTGAATACGTTCATTCAACCGCGCCTTACCACATTCTCAATCAATTTATTTCCTGAGAAAGGAAATTGTGGACCATCCTCATATGCATCACCATTTTGATCCCTTACGGAATTTGTAACATTCTCTTATTCCCTCCTATCGTAACAAAAAGCCATTAAAATGAAGACGTTTTGACTTATTACAGATCGCCTCTACTCCGCAAAGGGTCAGGAGCTCCGAAGAGCCCTTTATTCCCTGAAACAAATATTTATGGTACGTTTTCTGAATGTTCGTTTTTTTCATTGTGATTGCATAAATCCCATTCCCGTGTAAATGCACTTCTTAAGAAACTCTCCTACCGAATTGAGGAGGTGCTGATGATGTAGATTTCTTGACTTTCCCCTCGGATAGATGCACATTGGCCGCATTTTATATGTCTTAGTTATGGAGGAAATCGTATGCCAAGGAACCAAGTGGGCGGGGCACTTTCAACATGCTTAATATTTACCAGCAGATGAATTATTACCACCTGACAAAACTCCTAGTAATTTCAGTTGGCGGTTTTATTTCACCTTGATCAATCTGGCTAAGATTTCACCTATTATTTTGGCTTAAAGAGCATGCCACGTATTTGAAAATTTGCGTTTTTTTCGTGCTATCACAGCAGAGCGGGAAGCTCAAATCGGTGCTACAAGACTGCATGACACAGTGCCGAGTGCTCCGTCCACTCTTGTAGAATATGGTTGCATGGCACCGATTTCGGGAGAAGTATTCTAGTTGATCAAACATCTCACGCTGTTATGGTAAAACCGTACGAGTCCGCATCTCCCCCTTCGAATATCAAAATCAAGTCATGTTCCTGTGTCCAGTAGATAGATGGTGCTGCCTTTTAACCTCCATTGTCTCCAGATTGAAGGCGTACCGAAAGTCACTATCGCACCATTTTAGCTCTGCTTAACGTTGTAACGATGGATTGGGCACCGATGGTGTGGTTAAATTCGTAAAATCAAATCCATAGCCAATTTAATACCATATTTTAAAATGTTCTCTATGGGAGGTAGTAACAATTGGCGCACATACTTTGTGGTGTTAGAAGAGGCGAGTAAGGAGCACTGAGTCGGAGCCGCAGACGTTGGACGTCATCTGAGAAAGGTGTAGTTTTGTCAGCTGATTGGATTGCTGTGCCAGTGGAGTGAATGCGAGACTGAAGGGTCCATTTGCTAGCCAATAATGCAACTAGATCTGAAGCTGTGCTCTCCAATAAGAGAGACTGTTAGTTTACTCTTCCTTTTTGCCTTCAAGAACGATAAGGACCTCGTTCATGAGTTCGTCACCCACTCAGGTTTGACGTGCCTTGTCGCAGTGGGCTCCCAGTCGGAACACACTCACCAGAACTACATCCTACGAGGTGAGTGGTGATGGGTAGATTTTGTGCGACCGCAATTTAATTGACGTACCACGAATTTGTCCATTGCTTTGCTTGCCTCCTTCACTTTTACATTAGCAATGGAAGGATGCCAAATAGACTGCTTTTTTTAAATCACGCGGCGCTTTTCTCGAGAGAACTCTTGACAATCCGAGTTCAAATGCGTAATGCACCAGTTTTACTTTACGTCAGATTGCAATTTTTTTTTGAAAAAAGTGGAAGTTCTTGTTTCCACCGCCACTCTTACTCATCCGGCGCCGCAATATTCCTTCCTTGATTTAAATGTCTTTAAGTGAATAAATTTTTATAATAATCACCAACAACTTTTTTACTAACAAAGCTTTGTTCACTCAACAGAGGACGATCTTTTTAAAACCCAGTTGGGAGGAAAAAAAATTCCATTTTTAAGGGCAGGTTGTTTTGTCCTGGAATAGAGTGACACTAAAGAGTGGGCTTTATCTCATATCCAAAATGAAGACACATTTAAAAGCCACTTTAAAGACCATTTTTGCCATTCAGCCACTCGACCTCATCCGCCTTACCTGGTGTCTTTTAAAAATTTTTGTTCGCATTCTCGCTTATAAACGGGAGAGGTTGGGAAAGCAAGGCACTGGCTTGGCTTGCAATGAAGAGGTTTTTGGGAAAAACAATAAAGCTCTTTAAGGAAACGTTGAATTCGCGCTGATTGTCGCCTGTAAATGGAATAATGTCCTTTCCCACCTTACTTTAGCTTTGGGTCAACTCATTCTCTATGTGGATGGGATGAATGGAGTGAGCGAGCACCCAGAAACGATACGGTGGTTGTACTCCCTTCTCTCCTGCAAGGTGAGGACGGTTTTTCGCGTGATGTGCGTGTGTGTGTGTGTGTCATCTTCTTCATCGCTTTTCCTGCTATTCCTTCTTCTTTTTGTTCGTCCCCCAAAAAGCCACTAATTCCACTCTCTACCTGCAGCGAGCTTTGTGCGTCGGCTCTAACGCCTACGATGACTACATGGTAAACTGGAGTTTTCTGTTGCCTCTTTTGCTGTTCTAGTGGGCAGGCTAAAGCATTCCCCATTGACTGATGTTTGGACCACTTTAATAATAGCAGTAAAGCTGGACGTTTTCCTCACTTACAGTTCTCGCTGGTGAAGAAGACTGCCCTTCACCTCCTTTCCGTGTTTGTTGGCTACGCGGATACCAATGCTAACATCTTCGTGGAGACCGTTGACGACTTCCACAGGTCCTCAAGTAAGTTCACCTTTGCCATTGACCGTGGAATTCTCAACAACAAGGTTATGCATTGGCAAGTAAGCTGTGGTGAAATACGGACAATTAAAATCCAGCATCATTGGAATTGCTTTTTGGAAGTTGAAAAGCGGTTCAAATCAGTTACTTTTTCATTCTCGGATTGCAATGAAAAATGGACCTCAGGAGATATTGAAATCCCAGTAGTGAGCAACCTTATCTGGAAAATAGCTCGACTACTTCCCAACCTTCTAGTTTTAAGTTGTAACCTTGTCTCTTAGATGGGACAGCAACCTGAGAAGAGGAACGGAACCCTTCCCTTGGATTTTAAAAACCTCCACCTCAATAACTCAGACGTAATTAGTAGGTGAAGGGTGAAACAGGTTTTACTCCCAATTCCGGCTTCGGCAGGAATCCAAAAAGTTACACAAAGATAAAATCGTACCGAGTGCCTGGCTGAAAAAGGATGCAGCATTTGTTGCTGCCATTAAAACAATTTGGTAGTTTTATGTGCGGGCAAGGTGATTTTAAAGTCGCTTAAGATGCTGTTCCACTACCACTTAAGCCTCGAGAACTAACGTGCTGAAGGCTAAATTAAACCTTGCCTTTTTAAACCAATAAATCACTCATTTTTCTCACAAAAGGAGTCGTAATTTACGAGAAAAGTTGCCGTTTTGTCGAGAAAGGGGTGTGTGGAGGATGTCTTAAAATGCGGTAAACAAGAAAGCAAGAGGAGGCGGTTGAATGCTTGCACAGTTCCAATCCACTCCCTCAGTGCCTCATCTCTATCCGTCTGAAATGGAAAATACAACTGAAAGGACTGACTTACTCGAAGCTGTAGACAATGAGAAAGGACGAATAGGTGTTAACTTTCACTTACCCGCAGATAAAATAATAATTGTGTCATTTCTTCGGTTCTCACAATTCTCTTCCAAAATGCCATCAGTCCTTTCCAGTGGTTTGAAAATGATTCCGTGACGTGGCTGATTTTGTGCTGGCCTCACACACACACACACACGAGAGAGAGAGAGAGAAGCGAAGAGGCAGGCAGCGAGTGTCTAGAGTGTGAGAGAAGAGTTTTTTTCCCTTCGAGACGATTCATGCATAAGATTAGCAACCATTTCTGTTATGGATCGACCAGACTTGCCTACCACCATATAAGAGTAGTCAGACAAAGTGACCACACTCCTTTGCTCTCTGCTCGCATTTCCATCGTTTTCTACACCCAAACGGGTCTTAATGCTTGCATTTTTTTGCTGTCTCTCGTCAACTTGAATGGCAGCGACTCTGGTGTAGTGTTTGACACACAGTGAGCAAACTCAAATGACAGTGGAGGCAAAAGACCACCCCATGCCAAGCGTACGGGTGTTTGACCTTCATTATGGAAAAATGAAGTGAATTGTTTCTCGCCTCTTTAGATCTCCGCAAAATAACCATTTAGGTAGCTGTTGCCGGTGCGATAATTCATTTACATCGTAAGTCAATGTTGAGTACCACTTTCGAAATCGGGAATTTTCTGCCCAATCCCTCCATACTAAACAATGCAGTGCTCATCAGACGTCCAAGAACAGATGCTCAACGTACTGGGCGAAAATGTAGACTGGGTCGCAACAAGGTTTAGGAGGAAAAGTTGACACCATTTGGAACTATTCGACATCTTATTGCTGTACTATAATGTACTAGAGGCCTCCTTCGCCGAGAAATTGGTTCGCGTCCTGTTACGGAACTGCCGATACTGCTGCCACTTGGCGTCCTGATTTGAGACAGATGGAATGACCCATGAAAGGCAGTGCCTTTGTAATGACGCGCCTCTTTTAGGCAACCAAATTCGTAAGCCTCCTATCAACAAAACAATGATGGGGTGATTTTTCAATCGTTTGTTTCTTTCCTCCCATTTCCTTACTAGAAAGCAACGGTAAACCCTGGTCCTACCTCATTGACCTCCTGCAAAATGAATCGGGAGACTTGGAGTTCAGTCGGCTGACAATGCTGTTGATTAACAAGGTTCTGGCAGCAGTTCCAGATCAGGAGACGTTCTACGATATCACAGACTGTTTAGAGGATCAAGGCATGAAATTGATCTCGGAAAAACTTCTTAAAGAGCCCACCACCGACCCTATTCTCGTGGAACAATTACGAATCTATGAGGTACTTTTGTGAAACGGAACTTCTTTACAAAGGCGTTATCATTTCTGTCGTTTAAAAATCAGCTTCCTTTGCCTCCAAATCAACACATCGCATCTTATTAGTTGTGTCAAAAGACCTTTTGTTATTTATCATCGAGGCTACAGTCATACAACTGGGACGACCTCACTTTTTCAACTGATCTCAATGCCACAAATACATGACATGTTTTCCACCACTATGGTTGGTCATATGACAGGCTCTAAAATAAGAATCGCGTAAGAAACTGTCCGAGGCCACTTGGATTGTAGGGGGAGTTTTAGAGGATGTGGCAGCGCCTTTAGCCGTGAAGATAACTGCATCAAGACATTGTGCTTGAGAGAAATGGTGCCAGACATTGGTGTGATTCTTGCACAAGATTGACTAAGCTAGTCCTCATCTATTCCACTTCGTTGCAGGCCAGTTTAATCTTCGAGGATGGTGGGTCGAGGAGTCAAGTGAATCTGGGCGAAAAGTCGTTGGACACTATACGCCAAACTCCACGACCTAGTAGAGCTGAATTGGCTGGCAAACCCACGGAGACGGTGGCTTCGGATACACCAAGAAAGCGTAGATCTCGACGTTTCCATCCCGATGAAAGTGGCACTGTTGTGTAAGTTAGTAGAATTTGCCATTTGCGGTTCTATTAAGCACGCAAGGAAAGTCAAGCGAGTGAGGAAATAAAAACTTAAGCCCATATTTTAAGAAGATGAAGCCAATCCTTTGCGTAGTGGCATTATTTTTCTTCACAACTGTGACTTTCCTGAACTGTCAGGTCCTCTTTATTGTCACCCATTTAGCTTCGTTTTTGTGCCCTCCTTTAACGGGCAGGGGCTTCCGATTTCTCAACACTTTCTCTATGATAATTGCAACGTATTAAAGCTGGTTTCTGGTGGCCCCTTTACTGAAGCCGGTCTTTTGCAGGCTTTATTTACCCACCCTTTTTAGCATTCGCCTTGTATGAAGTTCTCTATCCCTACTGAGGTACACGTGACATTTGTGCTTTTTTGGAATTGCTTTCGGGAGTACCTTACAGTAAAATCGTAGTGCAAATAAAGTGCTGATCTTATTTTTTCCCCCATTTGTGACGAGTCAACAGATTTCCCTTAAGTCTGCGTCTACTCACATACTTCGGTCAAAGTGTCCCTCCGCCTTACTGTTCTGACACAGGGAGTGCCTCAACACGCACGCGCAATATCTCTCAACATCGCGATCCATCCTACCCATTACCTCAACTTTTAAATCATCCATTTACACTATAAATGCGATTTCCCGTGTGGCAATGACGTGGTGTTCAGAATTAGCCCGCGGAAGTAGTTAAACACACGTCTCGGTATCTCTCTTCAAGGCGCAGTAAACGCAGCAGCTCATGAAAGAACCAAAAGTGGCATGGCCAGATATGCTTTCTGCTTCCGTAAAAAGCAGCCTTTCACTAGCGCTTGGGAGCCCCTTTGAACCAAGGGTTTGCACACACGTCTTCAGTTCCTAATTGTGACGTAATGCAACATGGTAAGGTATACAGTAACTCTGAATGCTCAATTTTTTGGAATGCCAGATGGTCGCCTACGGGGAGAAATACGTGAGTAAGGTAGACACTGTTTTGCTGAAATAACCTTACTCACCATCTAAACACTACTTCAGAGGTTGGTGGGATTGAGAAGCCAGAGATTTCACACCTTCTATGTTTCTAACTGCCTTTGCTCATCACTCATTTACTCTCTAGCCTATACTACTTAAATTATCGTTTTCGGCTATAAGTAGCGAGGCCTAGCTTCATTCCACCGTCCATTACCCCAACGCAAATGTTTGGTACTGCAATTGCCATAAATCTATCAACGTGTTAGGTATCGGAACGTTTTACTCATTTGTTAGTGGATGTTTGCAAACTTTACGGGTTGCAGAGTAGAATCAGTGTGACTGACAGATTTGCTAATAGTGCCAAGGCCTATCATGACCCCAGTAGAGCCTGATTATCTGCATATTGCTATAAAATGCCATATCTATTTCAGCTTTATTAACTAGAGGCGAAAAACTTCACTCTTTTTTAGCAACGGATTTGAGGAAAGAAAAACTCACGCGCGTCGGGTGACTGACAAAATAATCGCTGACTCTCGAAGGCACACCGCAGGTAGTTTTGACATTTTCACCTCACTTTTCTGCTCAACATTTGCCCGACTAGGAGTAGGAAAATTGGTTTGTGGAATTTGATAGTAAACTTAAGTCATGTTCCCCTCCTATTTCACCTTACTAATCAGGTCGTTATTTATCTCTCTCTTTCTTTTCCTCCACTCCTCCGCCCCTCGTTTCGCCAATTTTCACGCGCTTTCACCTCGCGGCTTTTGTGTTCACGCCAACTAAACCCCGAAATTGAACAACAAAACAACACACACACACTACCAAAACAATCTGATTATGTTCTCACAATGCTGTTGTGTCCTGATTTGTGTGTTTCTCCCTCTGTGTGTGTATTTTATGTGTGTGCTCACCACTGCTTACTCACCACTACCGATCCACTGCCTAACCAACTAAATTAACGCCCAAATAATAATCAGAGCTTCAACGCCAGACCGTGAGAGATCTGTATGAAAACCTAATTGTCAATGAAAGTCCTGTGGAAGAGGAGCCGGGAGAAGAAGCCTTTTCTTCCACCACACCCCAAAAAGAAGCATCACCACAACTCCAACCACAACCACTGCCAGAAGAAAGGAAGGAGGTGACAGAAGTAAACAGCGATATAGACGACAGCCCCGCCGAACGCTACATTAGCGTTACCACAGGTAGTAGTGAGGACACGGGTAAGAGTTCCACCCTCTAAGGAGTACAAGTGGAGTTGAGTGAGTTCACCCTCCCTTCCTCTCTCAGACAAGGTAGAAGTTGTGCGGAAGGAGGCGCCTAAATGCAGTGCTCTGGTGCCCTATTCTCAACAATGCTCCTCACGGTTGAGTGATCTTGTCCACAAATTCGGTGCGTTCACAACGACGAACGAAAGTAGGAAAAACGCAGAGTTAGACAAAAGAATCGATGACAAAGCCCTCTTTTTTTCCCCCCACCGTGTAACTACATTAACTCTCCTCACTGCTTCAACTTCTGGCGTCATTGTCAGAACGCCAGTGAGAACGCCAATTGATGATGATTCATGACTGTTGACATTGCTAACTGCCAATAGCCGCTAGGTCACTTGATTTAGCCTCTGAAGGGGGATCTTAACACTCGCTTTCGCCGCTTTCCAACACATTGGCGTTTTTGGTTTAAAAGGCATTGTCAAAATTAAAATTCGCTTTTCTCCTTTTCCTCCTTTTCTAGAAGACGAAAAATCGGGAGATGTGGCAAAAGAGGTGAGTTGAAGTGTCATTGGCGAACCTGTAGGGGTGATTTCGTTTTCCTTCAAAGTCCGACATTATGTCTTTGAAAACGAATGGAGACACTTCTTAAAATAAATAAATCGAGGCATATTTCTACTCTACGTTAATTTTGCTACCACCCTTCTGAGAGGAACCCCCCATTTGTCTACTGGTCACACCTTCATTTGGGACTGGTACTTCGGAGGCGGATGACCGCGTGTCTTTCATCAAGTTGACGATTTCGGCAGCCTACCAAGGGTGCTCAAGTCAGTTAAGGATCGAACGTCTGAAAATTCTAAGGAAGGGATGCTACCGTGATAGTGGAAGGCGTCAGGTGGTTCAAAGTAACTGGTTGTTGAACGTCGTGCTCAGAACTCGTCTAGACGCCAATGATCGGGGTGTCTGACAGTTGCGATGGCACAGAATTGTGGGTGTTGATGAAAGTGTTAAATCCATGACGACGTGTGCGTGTCCAAGATTTTTAGCACACCAAACATCAAAATAGTCTAAGCGTTTCGAAGACGATGTTGTAGCCTGTTGAGAGCTCATGTGACAACAAAAACATCCAGGCATCGATGAGTGCATCGACTATCCGGAAATTTTCTCGTTTTAGCGCTAAATCGCCTTGTCATTTTCCTTGGTCAACTCGCTAGTTTGAGTTCTCCTTACACGCCTTCAGTAGGAATTTTTGTTTTCTTGAACAAAAGCACCGCCTTTTCAAGTGTTATTTGTGATTGGATACCCCTCTGTTATTTTTCTAGAACACAGCAACTTCCAACGACTCTTCCGCGCTGCCTGAGCTAAAACCAGGATTGATTTCCGCCACTAAAGAGAAGTTGGCAGCCACAATCGGCCGCTTACCCACGGGTCCTGCACCAGCAGCAGCAACTGATGCTGCTGTGGAGAAGGTAATTTTTGCTCTAGAACCTAGTGGTGAACTTTTTTCTGCTATTCTACTTGGGCAAATATTATCACTCGTGGTGTCGGGAAGGTGGTTCACCTCTGACTCATTCTGCAACTTGTTTCCTCGTACCCTTTCGGAAGTTGTGTCGAACCACAGATCATATTACCTGTCGAAATTCTTTATAGAAAACGGATTAGTTCTGTCAGGTCGCATTAGGTCGTGTGTTTGACTCGTCTTTTTGGTTACTCAAGCGCTTGAGGCGACTGCTTTTGGGCCATGTCGGCAGCTTTTCGCATCCCGTCGCCAAGCCGACCCTGACATTGTCTTCTTTCGCGAATGGAAAAAGCTCCAAGCACCACGATGGCATAAATTTTTCTAATAACAAGCTTCTTCTGCCTTGTTTTCCACTTTGTACGCAATTCGCTTAATGTTTCTCATTTACCTTTTCTTAATGACATAATTTTCATTAGTATTTCATATCGATTTACACATTCTTCCCCAAAAATGGTCTATCAAGGCAAAATTTTGCCCTATTTTGGAAAAAAATTAGAAGGTGACCATAAATGCACACGATTTGCATACTCATTTGGTCAGAGTTTACGGTGATTCGAGTCTTGAAGTGAAATTTTATCTTATTCTGCTTATATGGAGGTCGTTTCGGTCTAATTTTATTCGAGTTTTGTCATCTTTTATTTGCTTTCCTGTGAACCTTCTCACGCTCTACTGCCTCGCGCCTCACTTCTTTGAAAAAATCTTTTTTGGTCCATGAATTCTCTCTGAACTTCTACATATCTACAAATCTTATACTTTCTTGAATTTACTTTCATTTGATTCACCAATTAATAAGAAGGGACGTAAAAAGGGCCACCCAACATCTTAAAACAGGAAAATCGAACCGTCCAATTTGACATTTCTATCTCTTTGGTCATCAGCAAGCGCAAGAAAAACCAGAACCACCAAAGTTAAAGGGTGTGGACTACTTTTGGATGGACCACGAGAAGAAGGTGACCTCACGACCACTGCGAGTGAAGGATAGGGAATTTCAAGACCTCGAGAGCTCAGACGACGAATCGGCGCCAACTTCAGCGGGTGGCACAAAAGTGAATGGTGGAATTCCACCACCACCACCGCCCCCACCGCCTCCTCTCCCTGGGATTGGGGGTCTTCGTCCCCCTCCGCCTCCACCACCTCCCCCACCACCCACACCTGGTAGGTTTGCGCATACTATTGGCTCAAGAAACGTAGTGGTCATCTTGCCAAACTCGCGTGCTATTTGTGGTGGAAGTTGGATGAGGAATGGGGAAAAATGTACGCTTAAGAACCCAAAAACGTAACAGCCACTACCTGAATGAATTTATTGAGTCAACTAAAGCTGGTTATTCGAAAAATAGTTGATAAAGCTAAGAATGTGGATCATATTAGAATAAGCAAGAAGCCTAGGATTTCTTACAGTTAGTTGGGTCGATCTGCACTATTACCATACGTGAAAGGTAGTCATTTAGTAGAAACACTGAAACGAGCACTAACAAATTGAAACTGATTGCTCCATCGACCGCAATTTTAAGATTTGCTGTAAACAATGAACGCAAGGTAATGCCTTTTACAGGTATTTCACTCAATTTTCATTTGCTACTTCCAAAAAAGTAGGACTTAAAGCAATTCAAAACACGTAATTTTTAAACTATTTTATCTTGAAGCATTTTTATTTTGATAAATTTAGTCATTCAGAGCACTCCTATGTCCGCGTCTTAAACGCATCAAAATACTCGGCAATAAAACTCTAGAAGGTAGTGACCTTTTAAGGCGGCGGAATTGCAATCCTTCACATATTGTTTGCACAAGTTGTTTGCATTCGGCAAATGGAAGCCTTCAAATGACACCTTGGTTTGTCTTGCACTAGTAGCGAGTATGTAAACTCACATTAAACTAAAGCATGGCAATCGGCGTCATTGGACTCAGTGTACTGCCACCTATTTGTTTTGTATGCACATCGCCTTGTTGCTTCTAAGACGTTATTTGAAGTGGTGTAGCATATTTTTAGTATGCTTTATCCTATCAATGAGTCACCGAATTCCGTCTAAGCATGGATGAGCAGGGCGAATAGTTAATTACTGAAATGCAAAAAATATATGTTGTGCAAAATTGTGCAGTCATTATTGCTACCACCACGATGATTGAAGGGAAGGATCGTCCTATGAAAATCTACCCACCTCTGGCGCACTTACCATTGGCTAGTGCAAAGTATCCGAGTAGCCAATAGACGTGGCCCAATGCTTAGCTGCGTTTGGTCTAGAAAATGGGCTTCGTTTCGCGGTTTTAATGCGTGTTGACTCCATCCAACGCATCTGAGTTGGTCTTTGCATACGTTAAATAGCTGGGTAATGGCAAACAGTCATTATCACATCTATGCCATTTGTGTTGAGGTTAAATCGCGTGACCTGTACTTATTGCTGACATGAGCCACACATACACTTTATTGCTGGAATAAGCAGAAGTGGAGACGAGACTTCCAGCATCAAACTCACTCATAAGCAGTACACAGCAATAAAGATTATTCAGCAAGGCAATGCACAAAGCACGAGACTATGCCAGACTTCGTGTGGCTTTACATACTGGCATCCACCTCACTGAGGTACTTGAACAACTTGTTAGTAGGAAAATCTTATAAGATTGCAAAGACATTATATTCGAGAAAGAAACCTATAAGGTCCATATCAGCTAGAACATACGCTGGTATTCAGGTCTTGAAAATCGTTGTCAAAGTTATCGTTTCACCCTGTTTGGTAGCTGAGCACAGTCTCGCTTCTCACTTACAGGAATCTTCATTCATCACTCTGCTCTAATAGTGGTTCCTTCGCCTGATGGGGTTTGAACTGTTTCATAAAACGTCGGTTTATCGCTCATCTGAGGTGATATACCAATTTCACTTAATCGGACCTCGCAACATAACTTCTGAGAAGTGTAGAAAGGTAGCCGTTTTAAAGAAAATGTTGCTTTTGCACACCAAAGTGGCATTACATAAGGACTTTTACCGAAAGACGACATGCTGCAATGAATGCGATAGTGTGAATAAACAGGTCAAACGAATTTTCTGATCTTTATAACCATCCGCCTCGCACTTCCAATGCTCGCGTCTTTTCAACCGCACTTGGAGGCAGCAGTTTGGCAAAATTACGGTCCCCACTGTCATCATCAACGTTTCTTCTAACCTGTGTGATTTGTGTGCGTGTGTGCGTGGGATCTTCGATCAGCACCAATTTGACAGAGACAAACGCTCCGACATTTGGCATTGCGCTCTGATGACTCTCTTTGCTACAGATGTTGTCAACTTAGGCCCTATTGCACAGTGAGCCTCTCTTTCTCTCTCAATCTGATGACACGTTTGGAATACACACCTGGCACCTGGTCCTCCGGTTGGCGTTTTTATACCAGGTCAAAATACCTTCAAGCCTGAGCTCCATGCGCATCAATATGATTAGCGTGGCCTATTAATATCTAAGGGTCTCCTATTTGAAAGACCGTCGTCATAGCATCACAATAGGCAAGGTGATATCTTCCTCCCATCCTGCAGAATGGTAAGCCCCTCCGTAAAATGACATTTTGAACCTTGTAAGAAGGAATCCTTCTTTCAACTACCCACAAATTGCAGCTATTTTCTTCATTATTCAAAAGGCGTTGTTTTTGTACACCTCGGTGAGTGGACAATTCATAGGGAAAAGTGTCCTCTGCTGTGCCTTGTGGATATTCACAGGTGCATTGGTTGAGCCAAAAGGCATTTAATTACTGCATTCTCCAATTGTTGTCTGTTTTAGGTGGTATTCCACCACCTCCTCCCCCTTTTGGTAAATCCACCTCAACCAACAGTCTCCTTAGCAGTCTTCCACCTCCCCCGGGGGCGCGCATCCAGAAACAGACCCGTACTATGCGTCTTCATTGGACAGAATGGGTGCCCAAGCCTAAGGATGTCGAGGCCCTCACCAAAGCTGCTAAATCAAGCAGCAAGGATAGGGTAGACTTCAAGGTCGCAAAAAAAGCACCTCTCAATCCTACAGATAAGGATGAGGAGACCAAAAAGTTTGTGGAGGAGTTGAAAACCTCCACTATCTGGAGTCATGTGGTTCCAGTGACTCTGGATTATAAGCATCTGGAGGAGTTGTTTGAGAATAAAGTGACAGAAATCAAAGTCATGGTGAGGGTTGGCAGTTATGTTGCCTCGTATTAGTTATGCCTGTCTGTCATTTCTGTGTGGTTTCTTTTTTAAAGAAGCACGACACAGCAAATAAGAAGATTGAGATTCTTGATATAAAGCGCTCCAATGCTATCAACATCGGCATGAAGGTCTTGCCACCACTGCGAACCATTAGCAGTGCATTGATCAAGATGGACTCCTCGGTGATCAATCGTGAAGGCATCGAGGTAGGCGCGTTTGGAAGGAATTATCAATGCTTCTAATTTGCTTCAATATTTGATCTTTGGATTTCTCCTTTTTTTTGCTTTAATTTAGCAACTCCTCAACACCATGCTGCCAACCGATGAGGAGCGGGAGAAGATCATGGCTGCCAAACGCGAACACAGTGATATTCAGCTGGGCAAAGCTGAAGAGTTCCTTTTAACGCTTTCTGAAGTCTCCCATCTTAAAGCTAGACTAGAGTTGTGGCTCTTCAAGCTTGACTACGAGACGATGGAGGCAGATATTGTCGATCCTCTGACCGATCTCAAACAAGTAGGACCACAATTGTAAAGCAAGAGCCACTTTATTATCAAATTATCTAATTTTTCTGCACTTTCTCACTTGTAGGCGGTGTACGATATCCAAGAATCTCAGACTCTTCGATGCATTCTCTCTGTCATACTCGCAATGGGAAACTTTCTCAATTCCAGTGAGTCCTGGGGCTTTAATCCAGAGTATTTGGACCGACTTCCAGAGGTGAAGGATACCAAACACAAGCATAGTCTCCTTCACCACGTCTGTCAGACAGTCCTTGAACTCTTTCCCGAAAGCACAGGTAACGGACTTTGGGGAAACAAGTGAACTGGCTTCTCTTTCAAGAGATTATCATGAAAGCCACCTTTTTCTCGCAGACTTGCACTCAGAGATGGGCGCTGTATGTCGATGTCATCGGGTGGATTGGGACGAGCTGGACAAGAGATTAGAGAAGGTGGAGAATGATTGTCGACGAGCTTGGGAGCACTATCAAACTATTTACTGCAACACAAACCGCAACTTTGTGATCAATAACAAGTGAGGTTGCCTCCGAAGTTCTTATTGGCTTGAATGCTTGTTGGTTCGATGTTATGGCCCCCTCCAGAGGAAGTGGCATTAAAAAGAAAGCCAAATAGTCTAGCAAATTTTGGTCTCCAAAGCTCCCTTTCCTAAGCCCACATTTTGAGAGCCGATGTTTATTTTTGTGGATGTGTTGATGTGGTCACAGCAATTCTAGCTTCGTATCATCGTCCCTTGGGGCCGTCGGAGCGAGGTCCTCAAATAGGTGCTCTCATCCCTCACCCAAGGCCAGTGGTTAAGTTTGATCCATTCAACCATGTGGGCTTGAATATGTGGTCTCTTTGAATCTAGTTTAAGCAACTAGTCCACATTTTGCATTTGAAAATTTTTGGGTACAGTGAGCTGTGCACAGCTAAGCTAGAAGTAATCTCACTTCCTTTCATTTCCTCTAAACTGGTAAACCTCCACGGATGTCCAGCACATACCCAATCACCTCCATAGTAATATAATGTAAAAATGGAGTTGCTAAGCAGTGCTTTGATAAAAAGCATTGCTAAAAACTGAAGACGCTTGTTGTCAACTTTGGCAGCTACGTTAGACCCAACTCACATAGGATGTTACTTAGTTAAATTTGTATGGCTTTTTGACCAATTTTGATGCTTCATTTCAAACTAGACACAATCCACATCCTCTTTGATCTTTGCCAATCACTTCGGGTTCTTGTTAGATCTCTGCCACCAAACGTAAACTTGTCGGTGTTTGTTCATTCAAACAAAACAAAGGTATTTCGGGATTTTTAGGTTGGCCGATTTCATAGCAGATGCTGCTGACAGGATAATTGCGATGAAGATTGTCAAACGACGAACTGTAAAACGGTGAGCTTCATCAATTAACGTTGCGTACGTCGCGGTGTTTGAGCTGCCAACGATAATGCGATAAGAAATGTGAACCGGAAAGTAGCTTAAAAAGTGTATCGCAGACTCGAGAGACCAAAATTACAGTTAGTGCAAATTTAAGTCAGCCGTAGGCCTCAAACAATCGTTTCCCAATACCTTACAAACTGCCGTACCCCGTGTTCTGCTCCGAGCATCGTGTGTACACTGATCGTTTTGTGTGTTGTAGCTCTTTGGATGCACACCTTGGTTGCACACCCTCTTTACATGTCACTATGGCTTTACTTTAACGTCATTTTTATTAATAGAATTAGGATAACCTGAAAATATTTGGGGAGGAACGCTGAATAGGTGATCCTTTTTCTTGTCTAGATATCGCCAGCTCCTCAATTACTTGGGTTTCCCTCCAGCCCGAGCTGAGACCATGGCTATAGGTCACTTCTGCCGCATTCTAGCTGAGTTTTCTCTTGAATATCGGACCACACGGGAACGAATTCTCGAGCAGAACGCGAAGAAGGCAAATGACCAGGAGCGCAAGCAAACTCGCGGCAAGCTCATCGATGACGTGAGTTGAAGATCCACAATCCCCTTATTTCTCTCCTTCCTTCTTTGCGCCTCTCTAGCTAATAATGCTGTGCAAATATACGTGCGAAAACCCCCTCTAGGTCCTCACCATGGACGATGGCTGTGTCCATGCGACGCATAACGTGAGTTGTCACCGCGTTTTCCCCTCACGGCTTCGCTATCTCATTGCCTGACTAAACTCGTAATACGTATATCCATACTTAAACATTACATTTTCGATATTTATGACATCTCTACAAACCCACCAATCGCTTGTCATAAAACTCACAAGAGTGATTGACTGATTGAGCACTCACTTTAGACTCTCCCTGTTGACTGCGTGAATTCAACCCACCTGGAGGAGAGCATGAATGATGGAGTGGCTGACTGATTGGCTGACTATCCGGCAAAGAGTGTATAGTTTCTCTTCCGCTTGCGTCCTTTTAGGTACCAAAAATCCGCACAACTCCTCCAGTATCAAAGCAACAGGCGGCTGACGATATGGAATTACGGCAGGTGCTTTCGAGTAGACGCGAGTCTAGTGAGTCCTCTTATCCCTTCTTGCCTCGATTGGGACCGAACACTCGTCGCATGTGTAATAGCTCGACTCTCCGTAAGTGGGGAAAAGGGGCGAGAACTGTATTGCCTAATTACGTAATGTAGATGGATAACGCCATGCTGATTTGCCACCGCTGCTTCTGCAATGCTGTCGCCGAGATTTGTTGCTTAACCAGCACACCGGATCAATTGCTTTTGCACATCCTTTCGCTTCCACAGATAACTAATCTGGACAAGATGCAGAATGATACTTTTATATGCCATCTTTAAGGGCTTCATAACACCAAAAATGACATGATTAACATTCTTTTATGTTATAATTTCACACGTAATTGTGGTATTATTGCTGAGTCTCTACATTACCTCTATCATAGTGATAGAACCACCGCTTGGAAGAGTCAATCACTTGCGACACTAAGTCGGCTCAAAAGGGAAGCTAGGTGGTATTTGACAAGAGTTGTTTAAGCTCAGTTCTAGAAAGTGGTATTGAATAAAGTACTCGACTATGCCTATTTCTTTTCAACATGGAAGGCTTTGGATTCAATTTTCTGGATCACAGGTCACTGAATGCTAATCAAAAGCGAAATCTGACATTCGCGTTAATATAGGTGTGTTCTGCAGCTAAACAGTCATAGGAATTTGCTAAAATCCATACCCCAGATTCATGAGCATTTTGTATGCCATAACATTGCTTTACATTAATGTATGGCTCACCCGGCTCTGTGAAATTCGCAAATAACCCAGCTTTTTGTGTATGAGGGGTGATAAGAAACACCAAAAGGTCATGAATCGTGCTTAAATTGTCGCTAAACCCATTTCCGTTCTTTATGTGCCATTTTAGTTGCCAACTCAAAGCGTCATCGCGAGCGCGGTATAAGCCCTTGTTTACCCAGCTCAGTGCTGGATGTGACCGGACGAAATGATCGCGAACATCGTGAAGGCAGTGTCCTACTTGACGCCTGTGATCGTGCCTCTTCTCTCGCCCCTTCTGGTGGCACACTTGGACGACGTGGTCCCTCTAAAGAGCGTCGACGTGTGCAAGAACGTACTCGACAAGCCAGTAGGTCGCTTTTTATAAGTAAACGTAGTCACACTACTATTTAAATTTAGTAGCAATAATTTTGCCTATAAAATTAACTAGATACGTTTATGTGTCTAATTAAATGACAAAACAAAAGACTTATTCCCTTTTGAATCGGCCAACCAATTGGAGGAAGAGAGAATTGTAAAAAATATGTACTTTCTGCACAATATTTGTAAATTTTTAGACGTTTTCGGGGCACTTGAAGAGGGAAGATGAATGACATTTATTTTGCCATCGAAAGTTATAGCTAAACTAGCTGCCTTCATTCTATGCACATAATGTTTGTACACATCTTATATCCTCCATTAGAGTGCCTTTTTAAACTAAGTTCATCTCAAAAGGTGAGAATTTTTTGTTTCTGTAAGAAGGCAAGACACTGACAAGACACTGAGAAATGACCAAATTTCTGTCTGGCGAAAATGTTACAGTTTGAGAGGTCTTCTAAACGGCTCTCTGACTTTCCATGGAGGTAGATATCACGATGGCCAACGGCTTATTGAAGAAATCATTGAGTGCAAAGTACTAAACTTAGGTGGTAGCTGCGAGAATTAGTTTTGATTTAATCGAGTTTAATGATATCAAAAGGGAACTACTTGTCTCCCACCTGGTCATTGGTCTGCATAATTTGTCAAAAGGAGAATTAGTCGTTTGTCCTTTTTCGAATTTGGTTGCAAAAGGCCATTTACACTAACCCAGCGAAAATCTGCATAATCATTGAGAGGAGATCTGCTTAAGTCGATTGAATTGAGATATCCGGCATCTAACCGATAGGTAGAAACAATCCCTGTACCGCGTTTCAGGGAAAGGAAACAGGTACTCAACAAGTAAGCCGATTTGACTTGGTTGGTTAGGCAGACCATCTCAAGTCCTACAGGCGATTGTTACGTTTACTATGTGTCGTTTTTTTCTTTTTTGAAAATACATTACAAATTTTCGCCATCCTTTTCCAGAAGACGAAGACTTCACCTCTCCCATCATAGAGGCCCTAGAGAAGTAGTAAGCTAAATTACTAAGATTTTGAAAAAGATTAAAACACATAGGACCGCACAATTCACTCTAAGCCGCCTACCATTTAACACTTCCTGGAAATTGCGCTTCTTTTCGTGGTGGTGGTTTCATTTACACCGCCTCAATTTTTCTTCTCTTTGTGTTTTAATTTGCAGCCCGACTGTTTTACTAACACGCACCCTGCCACCAACAACACCCCACGCTATGGTAATACCGAAAATGTGGCGCGTTCCTTTGTGCCTCACTTTTCCCCTCCCCCTCTTCCCTTTCCCCATTGTTTATTTTGCTATGCTGTGCTGTGCCTTATTTGAGCACTATTGCATATTGTTCTTCACCTTGTTGTTTCCTCTCCTCTTTTTCACTTGCATGTTTGCGATTTTTCCCATGGCCTCGATGGGCTCCTCCACCCCCCCCCCCCCTTAGGGAAGGAATGCTTTTTGAGAGCGAATAAAT